TCCGTTGCATTTTCTCTTTCAGTTAAATCAAACCCGATCCAACTCAAGGTCGAAGCCTGTGTTAAAGCCAAGTCCATTACATTATATCTTTCGGTTAAATCGAACCCGACCTAAGTTAAGGTCGAAGCCTGTGTCAAGCCAGGTCTGTCGCACTTATCATGTTGATTAAATAGAACCTGATCCAAGATCGAGGTTAAAGCCTGTGTTAAGTACAGGTCCTTTGCATGTTTGAGATCCCGCCTAGTGTCAAGCTAGGTCTGTCTCAATCACGCTTTCTTTGAATAAAATTTTTGCCGCCCAACTACTGTCTTTTTGCCTTTATCTATCCTTTTAATTTTGCAAGAATACACAAAATGGGGCAAGCTGTAGACACCGTATTTGGTCCGACTTAATTTTTGTTATTTATCTATTTTTTTATTTTATTTTTATTAAATTGTATTTTAATTGTTTTGGTTTAAAATATCATAAGTTTACTTTATTATAAGTTTTAATGTAAAGTTTTAATTAAATTAAATTTAACAAAGAAAATAAAATTTGTTTAAAAATAATTTGATTTGATTTGATTTTTTACTTTAATTTTATAAATTAGGCTTTTTATTTAAATGATTGATTTTTAATAACAGTTTTTCCTCTTTGAATTTTTCCTCGTCAAAGCCACGTAACGTGGCATCTTCTCCTTCCTTTCCTTCCCCTATTTTCTCTAACCTTACCATTGTTACCGTTGGAGCATTGTGTATTTAAAAGACACACATACAAAGACACAAAAGACACAGGAACACAACACATAACAGAAGGAGAAAATACTAGCCCCTTAGAAAAACTCATTTTTATTCCTCTCTCTTAAAAAGGGTCACCTTCTCCTTTATCTTCTACCTCTCACCACTCACTTTTTCTCCTTCTTCATCTTCTACCTCTCACCACTCCCTCTTTCTCTCTCCACAATAAACTCCAATAACCCGCAAGACCGGCGAGCATACACAACCAACCCACGCGAAACCTCGGTGGCGACTCCAAACCCTTATCTCGAAAGAGACCCTTCAGGGGATGACGTTGGTCGCTTCGCGTCGCAATGACGTTGTGACACTAGACATAGGCCCTCTGACCTCATAAAAGCAAATTAGTTGATAATTACATTCTACAATTGTAATTGCACATAAAATATGATAGTAGATTATCCTAGGCTCTACAGCAACCCAAAGCGGTTCGTGAGAGAGTCGAACTTAGATTTCTAGAAATTGTCAAGTAATGTCTGACGTTTTTTCGTCTAGTGTGTGTTTTCTCTCAAAACTAAGACAGGAAACAAAGGGGTTGTGTTTTATAAAGAAGCTTGATATTTGCAAATCCAAACCACAATTTTATCACCAATTTTACCCATAAACTTCGATTGTAGTTCGAATCATTTCATTTCATTAAATTCATTTTGAAGCAAAAGTCCTTGAGGATTTGACCTCGAAATTACTTCCTTGCATTACTTGTGATCGTGTACGCTTGCACGTGTATTTTATCTTTTGAGGTAGAGAATACCGTGAACAAAATAACAAGAAGTCTCCACTTTAGAAAAACTAAAGTATGCCTCTCAATAACTGTAGCCAGAATAAAGTTAGAAGTTTGTTAAAATCGCTTATGATGCCTGTCTCTTCGAACTGTTAGGAGTCTCTTTGATGGAGGTTAGACTTTTCTTGAATGTATTTCTTCATGATGGAGAATTGCGGCCCAACACTCTTTACTTTTTGATTGATCTCTCTCTCAAGCTATTCTTCTGTCGCTTGCCTCTAGGTGGTCTACTAGGCTGGATGGGGTTCTTTTTCAAACAAACATCATTATTTATACTCATCGTTTGAACCGCTACTCATATCTTATGTAAGAAGGACTTTCATTTTCTATTGCAGATTTGTACATCTGGTGCAGATTTAGTGAATTGTAGTGTTGTATCATTCTAATTATAACGTACACTCTATCCTCACAACATAGCATAAGTGCTCCCAGCATTCCTAAAACATCTATACTTGACAGAATTTGATCAAATACCTTCGAAGTATAATGCTTTCATGACATATGCCTCAAATGATAAAAGACACTCCAAGTTCCAGAGATACGTCATTCTAACTATCTTACACCATCATAACTTCTCTTTTTTCTTAAGAAAACAATGGTCTAAAGGCGATTTATTAACTACTTTGAAAAGTTATCACTTCTCCAAATTTTGATGTGTCTTTCTACAAGTCCAACGTTGGCAACCTCACTCACATCACTTTAAACTTAACTCTGATGTTTTAGTGTCACTGGAAAATTTGGGTGTTTAGGAGCATTTAGAGACTCCGATGGCGATATACTATTAGTGGTCGAATCTTTTTTGACTATCATAGGTCCTGTAAAACTCACAGAAGCATCGACACTAATTGAAGGTTTCCAGAGGACACATGAAGCTGATCTTCCTCCATTATGGGCTGAGGTCGATTCCTCGATCCTTTGGAAGTTTCTTGTTAAATATGGACAAGTGGCAAATGAACTCCAAATTTTTATAATGACCTCGAAGAAAACCTTAGACGAGGTCACATTGCATGCTTTCACTTCACTTCATGCTCTTGTATGTTTGCCAACAATGAACTAGACTGTCATGTTCAAAAAAATAGATGGTCGCATATATGGCTTGAGGACCAGCCACCACTAAGGGTTAATGATAATGAGACCAAAGATACTAAAAAAACTATCTCCTAGTTTTTCAGAATGATGAGTTCAGGGCAACCATTTTTTTCTTTAAATATATCTTAGAATGTGTATTTTAATACAATTTGTTATAAAATAATTTCATAATATTTAACAAATAATTTAGAGTAAAGAAAATATAAATTTAATTGAAAACAAATAAAATTTTAAATAATTATCTTTAAAAAAATTTATAAATTATAAAAAACAATGAAGATTTTAAGAATGGGTCTATTTTAGTCATTCTAGCAATATCAAACCATTACTATTAATGTACGAAATACCATAACCTTAAGAAGTTTAAAATTTGAATTTACCTAACACTAATTTTTACATCACAATACAACTAATTTTTCGGCAATTATTTAGGTCATTTTATTTTTTTATTTTCTATTTTTTAAAATTAAACTTAGAAACATCAATTTCACGGTTCTTTTACTTTGTTATATGGTTCATAAACATTTTCAAAATCTAAATCAAATTTTAAAGAAAAAAATAGTTTTCAAAATTTTATTTTTGAAAGTTAGGCTAAAAATTCAATTATTTTTTCAATAGAGGTGAAAAACTCACTAACAAAATTGTACAAAACTGGTAATAGTTATCAAACACACACATTTGTGTGTATTTTAAAACTTGTAATAATTTAATCCATGCCATGAAAAAACTCATTAATGGAAAAATAACCCTTTGCTATGCCATGATTCACTTCTCATGTAGTTTAAAAATACATTTTTTATAGAGCGATCGGTTTACAGTCTCCGTTCTAGGAAAATCAATAATGTTATGAACCAAGTCATTATAGAATCATAACTAAATCAATAATGGTATGAGCTAAGTCATTATAGATTCATAACTACAAACGTTAATTATTACATACTAAAGTTCATGGACTAAATTGTTATAAAATTTAAATCAACCAGTAAAATGAAAATCCATATACTAAATCATTAACTCAACGAAGTACAAAATTTGCAGTGTAACTAACTAGAAGGTAAGCATTTGCATGTGCAAGTTTAATCTATCGAGCAAATCGTAAATGCCATTAGAATCATCAGCCCCAACATCAAAACCTGAGAAGAATTTACGCAAAGAGCCACCCACTTCAATACAACTCTCCCCAGCCATCTTCTTCATCCCTCTATCTTTCATGGCCCTCCGGCAATCTGCTGCCTGCTTCCACATCCCAACTTCAGCAAACATGTTGGCAACCATCACCACATTTCCGCCCCTCCTCGGCTCGAGCTCGAGCAGCCTCTTCCTTGCTTCCTCTGCAACTTGAGCCCCACCATCGACGTCTCGAGCGTTGCACGCACTCAGCAATGTCCTCCACACAATCGGATCGGGCTCCACAGGCATACTTGTGATGAACTCGTAAGCCTCCTTAAGTCGACCAGCACGACCTAAAACATCCACCATCGAACCATAATGTATCATCCTCGGTCTAATCCCATGTACTCTCTCCATAACGTCGAAGTAATGGTAGGCTTCATCTACCAATCCGGCATGGCTACAAGCACATAAGACACCAATATAAGTGACATAGTTTGGGACTATTGGAGAGCTCATCATACTTGTGAAAAGTTCAATGGCTTCATTGGCAAACCCATGTTGTGCTAGCCCCAAAATCATTGCACTCCAAGTCCATACACTTCTATCTTTTAAACTATTGAATACAAGCCTTGCACATTCGATATTTCCCGATTTTGCGTACATATCGACGAGGGCGGTGCCCAACTGCACATTCAAGACCATCCCTCTTCCCACCACTTGAGAATGAACCCATCTCCCTAAGCTCAAATTACCAAGTTCAGCGCAAGCCGATAGTATAACCACCATTGTAGTCTCATCCGCCTCAAAGCCATGGTTTCCCATTTCCAAAAAGTACTCAATCGCTTCATCAAAGCAAAAATTCTCCACACAAGCTGTAATCACCGCATTCCACGAGACCAAAGTTCTTTCAGACATTTCGTCGAACACCCGACGTGCGCCCGACATTCTTTTGCAAGACCCGTAAAAATTAATCAGAGTGTTCCGAACGTAGACATCCAAATCTAAACCGAACTTCACGGCATCGGCGTGGAACTGCTTGCCTTTTTGGAGCATTGTGAGCTTCGCGCAAGCCTTGAGAAGAAAGGGGAAAGTAAGGTGATTGGGTTTCAGTCCTCGTATCCGCATTTCCCCAAATACCCATATCGCCTCTTGTGGAGAATCGCTCGAGGCGTATCCCCTGATGGCGATATTCCAGGGCAAAGAGGCGGAGTGACGGTCAGAATGATGGAGGAGAGAGCGGGCATGGGATAGATTTCTGGAGGGCGACAGAGCAGCGAAGCGGAGGAGTTCAGTGGTGAGAAATGGGTCATTTTGGAGGCCAGAGATGAGAATTTGGGCGTGAATTTGGAATAAATGGTTTGTTGAGGAGCAGAGCTTGAGAAGGGTGAGGAATTGGTGCTTTCTGGAGAGGAAATTAGAACTGTGATTGTGTGCGTTGGGTGGAAAAATTTGATGGACGGCCGTGATCGGAAGTCTAACCATGCAATTGAAATTCTTATGGCCTCAAAATCCCAACATGCGAACTTCAGTTGTATAAAGGTATGCTTAAATAGGGATCAGAAAACTAATGGGAAAAGAAAAGAGAATGAAGGGAAGAGGCCAAAGGGGGTAAAATCAAACCTCGAGTTCGCCAAGGAGATTTCTGAATTGGCTGCTCCTTTAATTGGCGGTGATTTCTTCGCTCTCTGCCTCATTTTTCCAATCTCTTTCAAACGCGAAATACAATTTACTCCAAATGGAGAGTGACGGGCTACCACTGGCGTACGGCGCCACGGAGCTGTGACGGATCTCCGTCAGTGGTGCGGCGGCGCGTGTCGTGGCCGGTGGATGGCGAGGCGAGAAGAAAGAGGGAGTGAAGGGCGGCTGGGATTGCTGGAGCCGTACACAAGGAAAATTGAAGGGTTTTTTGGGCTGATCGGCCCACTTTGAAATATATCCCATGTTTTAAAACCTATGTTTTGTAATATTTTCCTCACTACCTTATTTGTCAAATTGCTCTCTCCCCTCACTCTCTCCATCACCTCACTAACTTGGGTAATAAATCCACTTTTCCTAGTTATTTTTATTTGAAAATTTTTGGTTGCTTCTCGTCGTTTTCTCTCTGTCTCATGTGCCTCCCTATCTCGGTGCGTCCTCCGGGAAACGAGGTTTTTTTTCTTAGTTTTATTTTTTTTCCAACTTTATGTTTGATTCGTCGTCCTAATTC